GCATCCCCCCTGGCCCGCGTATTTATCACCACATCAGACCAACGAGGAATTACCGGACTGTGCCTATTTATAACCATTCGTTAGGTTCCGCATTCTGCCATCTCCCCCTTCCTCGACGATGAGATTACAGATTCCCTCTTTCCAAAAGAGGAAACTAGTAATAACGAAAGCCAACGGCTTTCGCCCACGCGTCGCCTCCCCTTTTCACGAGGCCCCCTGTTCGATGAAGGCCGGCTTCCTCTCCTCATTCCTGGGGTCTGAGGTCTCGTCCATAAGTTCCTTGGGTGTTTTTTTTCTTTTTTTCTTTTTTTTTTTTTGGGTTCGTCCTTGGATTTCCCACCCCCAGAGAGCACCTACTCCCATCGGCAGTTACGCTGGCTCCCTCTCCCCAACCTGAGTGGACTTGCGCCAAAAAGAAATGAAAGTGTTGATGTCATCAGAAACAACCGTTCAGAGTGCACATTTCGCAGTCAAATTTTCCCGCCATTGCCATACCTGATGTGCACTGTGTACAATTACCCCAACAATGGAATGATGACGTCATCAAAAACCATCACAACAACCCAGTCAAAACTTCGCGCCAAGCTTTTCCACCACTCGCACTCCCGCCAAATTTACTCGTCACTACCCTCTCTTCGGCTCCTACCACTCCCAATTCTCTCTCCCCACTTCCCCCCTTTTCCCTCTCCCCACTTCCCCCCTTTTCCCTCTCTCTTCTTCCCCCACTCTGAACCTGAAAATCTTCAGTCCGAAGACCACGTTGACCCATCTACACCCTCTTCCCCCGTTTACCTTCCCTATTCGGGTCTCTCTTCATCCCCTGTTCAATTTCTTATTTTCCCCCAAAATAATCCATCGACTTTTTTCCCTTTTTTTCCCTTTTTCCCCCCCAGCAAGTCCTATACCGACCGAGCTTTCTCAAGCCCAATGATGATGGTATCTAAGCTTGGTCCGCATCAGCTCAAGTGACAGAAAGATCGACAGAGAGAGAGAGAGAGAGACAGAGAGCGGAGGTAAAAGCGATACAGACGCGAGACACACAGGCACACACACGCACACATACAGAGGAAGCCGCAAGCATCCAGATACAGAGACAAAGGGAGAGAGAGAGAGAGAGAGAGAGAGAGAGAGAGAGAGAGAAGGAAAGCGAGGGGAGCAGTAACTTGCCGACCAACCCAGAAGCGGAGTGCACCGCGCCTTCATCGTCCAAGCAACCAACATCCACCACCCCCCTCCCTGCTGGTCCCCCTAGTCTCTTCTCCTCACGCTGGTGAGCGTGGACAACCACCGCTGTTGCATTTTCGCACACGCTCCTCTCCTCATAGTCCCTCCTCTCCTCCCTCCGCGTGCCCCACGCTCTTCGTATCCCCATCCTTCCGCTTGGCAATGCGGCGGAGCCGACTGATCCAAGAAGCGCGCCGAGCTGGCATGTCAGGGGTTCGGATCCCTCTTCCCCTCGTCATGTCAGTGGAGACATGTCAACTCGGCGCGCTTCTTGGATCCACGCTGCCAAATGCATAATCCACTCCAATGTCCGCAATTTCGATTATTTTAATTTGCTGCCAATAATAAAAATAATTCAATCATTTCAAATAATATTCAAGTACTTTCTCAAGCCAACGCGAACAGAACGCTGTGCAAGTTCGCACGGTAATAAATGGTGATGTCAACACTTTGACGTCAGCACGAGATGAATACTTGCAGTGATTGGTTGTTGGCAAACGGCGGGAGATGTTACCAAAAAAGAAACCGGGGG